ATAGGAAATCCATTTACCACCACTGAAACCCGAGTTGTATGTTTCCAGATTCTTTCAAGAGATGGTTCTACGATTCAGCTCAGGAGCTTCACGGGGCTGCCTCCTCTAGGAAGCCATGTCTGACCTCCCATTCAACCCATTTCAGCTCAGATGCCTTCCCAGCATCCTCACCTTCTCTGTGTCATAGCATCCGTCATACACTTTGCCACTGTGGTCACCCCTATTTACCCCACGAGCCTGTGAGTTCCTGAGATATAGGTACCTTATTTTGCCTTGTGTTTTTTACCCCAGCACTTGGCAAAATAATAGGGCTTCAATGCCTGTTGTTGAATATGGTCCTTCTTTCCTTCATTCTTTCCACCCACCCTTCCTTTATCTCTCTTCTTCTCTCTTTCCCTCTTTTTCTTCTTTCCTTTTCTTCTTTTTCTTTTTTCCTACCTTCCACCTTCCCTCCTTCCCTTCCCTCCTTCCTTCCTCCCTCGCTCCCTCCCTCCCTCCCTTGCTCCCTCCCTCCCTCTCTCCTTTCCTTCTCTCCAAGGTACTTCTCAGAGNAGTAATCTTGCTTTGGTTGCCTTGGGGCATGTCTGTCTCTGGCATTGGTGGACTTTCAAAGCTGACTTTCTTGGGCTGTTCTAGTAGATGCTGAAATCCTTTCTGGGAGCATCCAATGGTCTGTTCCATGACACAGGATGCCACTGGATGGACTTAAATGTCTTGCTTCAGCTCCTGTGAATCCAGCCCATTCCTCTCCCATCCCTACCTGAAGCGCTCTTAGGCAGGCTCTGAAATGGCTCGTATCATCTTTCTCATCCACATGGCCCACATCTAATCCCCCCAAGCCTCATCTGGCCCTGAGCACTTACTTATCCTTGCCCCACCAATGATGTGCATGTAGCTAGTTCATGCCTTTCTGCTCTGCTGCTTCAAAGCGACCCCCAGAGCCCTGGGCAGTTTTTCTCAGTGGTTAGAGCATCAGCTGGAAGCCTGAAGGGTCCAGGGTTCGATTCCAACCAAGGGCTTGTACCTCGGTTGTAGGCTCCATCCTTAGCCTCGGTTGGGGTGCATGCGGGAGGCAGCCAATCGATGTATCTCTCTCACAACGATGTTTCTCTCTCTCTCTCTCTCTGAAAAAGCAATGGAAAAAATATCTTCAGATGAGGATTGAAAAAAAAGATCCCCAGAGCCTCATATCTGTAACTTCACCAGGTACCCAAGGGGGTATACAGATGAGACTTACAGCACACCTTTTCCAAAACCCTGTCTCTACTCTCAAACTCCTCTTTTGGTTTCTTGGATTTCAATCCTCTTATATTCTGCATGTGAGTGGTGGCCTAAGGGTACCATCTTCCTTGAGGATATCACCTAAGTGGCCTAATATTTCACTTTGGTACATGAGACTATGGTTTTGTTCTTGACCTTCTGGGGTCTCAGCTATAATGTAGACAAAGAGAGTCCCATCTTAAATATCTTTATAAAAAGACCATGGTCACATTAGCCCCAGCAGCAGCAGTTAAGGGCAAGGAAACCATCAATCAGCTAAACAGAAATGCTGGTAGACCTAAGAAGCAACCAGTCAGCAGCAATCTTGCAAAAAATAATAATAATAAATGCTAAGAAGGCATTCAGGAGGAGAAACAGATGGGAATGGGGCTAGCCAGCACATGTGTAGACATAATTTGGGAAACAGGACAGAGGTTATAGCTAAGATGTAAGAAATCAAAGTCCCACGACATATGCAGTAAGATGTATACAATACCCAAGCCAGAGCAAAAAAAAATAACCAGGCTCATTTTCTGCAAGGATGCAGTGTCAGATGTTTAAAAGGCCACTGGACCAAGATTGGAGCACCTGGCATTCTAAAAGGGATTTGGGGGAAAGTATTTAAGATCTTAGACTTTGGAGATAAATGGATTTTCATTCTTAATATACTTTCTGGTTGTTTGACTTTGAACAAGTGATAAAGCTTCACTTGGCCTCACTGTCCTCATCTGTACAATGTGGATCACATGTGGTACCCGCCTGGGATGTTTTCCAGAGGATGAAATGAAGCACTGTTCATGCAACCATCTTATTAAATTGATTTTATTCCATCAGGAGGATGCAATCATGAAGCAACTTGATTTTAATCAAGCTGCCCCTTAAATCCCACATGGACAACTAGCCCTTTCCTTTGGCTTATTGGAAATTTTAAGCAAGTCCCATAGCTTTTTTGGGGCCCTTCAATCTAAAGAAAAATCTCATTTTAGCTATGAAATTTTCCAGTCCAGTGAAGTAATCAAAACTTCTAACTGGTTAGATTTAAGGTTCTCACTTCCCCAGCTCAGTGCTGCTTTAGGCCTAGAAGCCTGCAGTGGGTGGGGCCTTGCTCCACTGCTGTTTCCTTTCCAGGCTTCTCTCTGCTTCCCCTGACTCCGAGGTCCCTCCCAGGTCTGGCCAATGGGGAGAGATGAGGTGAAAAGGCATAGTGTTAAATGGCCCTTGCCCTCTTGACCTGTGCTGGTGGCCCTGGACTTGGAGGACATTCAAAATTGACTCCTGTCACGGGCACATTTGTATTGTTTCCAGAGACTCTCTTACAAGGACCTCCAACTGCAGCTTGCTGGAAGCAGGCAAAGCTCCTCCTGATTGATTGTTCCTCTTGCCAAGTCTTGAGTATCTGCTGGGTCTCTCGTGCTGGGTCTCTTCACCCCTTGTTCCTACCCTAATACGCCCTTTCAAGGGTGCTCTGGCCAATTCTTTCCAATGAGTCCATGGGTAAATTCACACACTCACATATCCTTGACCAGCTTCACCGCTTCAAGGGCTGCTTGCTTCTCTCCCCACCCCCGAACCTTCACTCTTCAAGGACATATCCGTTCACATTGGCCTAACCTAGTTTGGAATCTCTTACAGGTCCTGCTTAGGTGGTCTAGCACCTTGCTTTAGGACATATGGTTCTTGCCAAATATCAAGAATGTTCTAGGATTTTGGCCTCTATCAAAACTGCAGGACAAGAGGAAGAGGGACTCACCCATCCTCCTGCCACATCTAGCATCCCACCAGACATATGAAGGTACAGAGGCTCTGTGCCTGTATCCCCTCCTTTTTATACCTGGGACCTTGGGTGAGCCATTTAAAATCAGTAAATCTAGATTTGGAACTGAGATAATATCTTTCTTGTCAACTTAATAACTTTGTTGAGAATATAAGAAACAAGATCAATGAGCAAGTGCCTTATATACAAAATAAATCTATAGAGAAAAATGTAGCCTACTATTAAGATATGAGAGTAGCAGTTTCATCAAAAATAGTGACTCCTTGGCTATTTTTCCTTCCTATCTAATACATACTGCAAACCTGGTAAAGGAAGGATAAGTTTTCAATGACCATGAACAAATGTCATAGAGAAGGTTAATATCTTATTTATGCATCCTATATTAAACCTGAGGCTTGACTACTGTAATGCATGGGATATAAGGAATGAATATTGAGGTTCCTACACCTACATATTTCACTTCATCTCACTTTCTCCAACAGCCCAGAAAATAAAACCATTTTCATTTAAAAATCAAAAATAAGTGTTTTCAAGGGTCAAAAACTCTAAGTGCATGCCAGGCAATGCCTACCTTGCCCACTTGCTCTTGTCCTGACTATAGCCCTGTGCTCAAAAGGCAAGGTTAAACTGGATTTGAGGGAGTGGGGAAGGGCGGCTATTGATCGAGTTAGGTATCAAGCTCGAGAGCTCTATACATGTGTGAGCTAATGACCAATGAGACAGCCTGTGCAAAGGAAAGGGGGTAAGGTGGAAACTGAGGAAACCATCAGAATGCCCTTGAGATTTGAGCTGTGAGGCAAGAGGACAACTGAGCAGAGAGAAACAGAGATCCAAGAGAGACTGTCTGTGTATTTATGTGTGACAGAGAGAGAGAAAGAAAGAGAGACTGTCTTGTCTTGGTTCTTTTAAATTTCTTGGTTCCATATCCAGGCAGTTGTACCTTTATAATAATTCTCCATTTTTCAGACTATCCTCATTACTCCCTGCCCATTGCAACTATAAGAGGAAGGGAGGAAAAACAGCATGGGCCCAGCAAAGCTAATTTATTTCCATCATGCTGGAGAACAGACTCTTCTAGAACCATTTCCAATGTAGAAGTATGGATCTTCCTTCCTAGGCCTGCCCTATTTAAAACTAGCCCAGCCTTGGAGGGCGCAAAATGTGACACAAATCCAGTTTTCTCAACACATTCACATCTGCCCTTGTCAAATTACCAGCTCTTTAGGCCCCAAGACTATCCTATTAAGGCTGAATTGGATCTTCAACAAGCCCCAAAGCTCTTAGCATTGTAGGACACATTTTCGGGGGTCTTTGAGGAGTTGAGTTCCTGCCTTATGCAGATTGGGTAGAAACCTAAATAGCCAAGCAGTAACCCATTCACAGCAATTCAAATAGCAATTACTTATGCAATGAATATTCTTTTTGTAATTGGTCATACAAATACTATAAGGATATTAGCATGTTTTAATTACTCACAACTCTGCCACCTTACATACAAAGGACTTGAAATCTAAGACCTGGGTTCAAACTCTCAGTCATCCACTCCCTAACTGTGTGACTTTGATTGAGTTGCTTAGCCTCTAGGAGACCCTACCCACCTATAAAACAGAGATAATAATACCTACTTCACATGGCTATTGTAAGGTTAAAGCAGACACTTAGCAAGATGCCATAGCTGCAGCAGTAGTATCACAACAACAATAATAATTTCTTGGGCACTTGCTCTGTGCCAGGCTAAGTTAAGCACTTTACTTGCTTTATCTCATTTTATTTTCCCTATAACCTTTTGAAGTCTGCACATTTTAACGGTAAGGTCACTGAAACACACAGTGACTAAGTCATGTGCCTAAGTAACTAACATAGCAAAGAGGATGGCACTGACAAAGTAAGTGCTCCTCCCTTTGTTTTTTCATTTTTCACAAGGGGGAAGATTCCAGACTTAAAGAAATTAGCAGCAACTACTCACTTTGGGTTCATCAGTTCCAAGTCTCCAATAAGTTGAATTACACAGTTTTTTTACTTCCTCAGGACCCTCTATATCATAATCTTTGGGATAAGCTTCTCTGTTGTGGTGCCTTAAGAAAAAAATTAAGAATCTGTTAAGAGAGAAAGCTTATTTATCATGTATTGCATTTAAACTTTTAAAAAATGCAATAAAAATAGACTATATTTGTGACATTTTAATTATAAATTTATTGGATTTATGACATATATTTTCCATCTCTTTTTGAGTAATGCTGAGGCTACTTCCTAAAAACAATTTGGCATATGTGGTAAAACTAATATCACAAAAATAATACTTAGCAAACAGCAATTATTCAGTGACTCCAATGAGGTGAATCTTATTTAATAATGTAGATTAGTTACCGAAAGTAAATTCTAAAATAAGATGTGGTAATATCTTAGAAAGGAAACTTGCCACTTTAGAAAATTTCTCTACCATGCATTTTAATTTAATTACAATATTTTTTCAAAATGAGAGCCAGCAGACAGTATCTGCTTATATGATTTTGTAACACATGCTCCTGTTTCTAAACAGGATCTAAAGGAAACTGACAATTAAACATAAGCTAGAAAAAAACAGTTCTGAAAACATGTAGATGAAACAGGAAAAAACATTCCAAACATCTTGTCTAAAAGACTGGTTAGAAATAATAATAAAGAAGGAATTTTAGGATAGGGAAGGAAAAAAGAGGTGAAGTGGCCTGCAAGAGAAGTAGCTATTTTCATAAAGCTTTCTTGTAAGATAAAGGAAGCTGAACCCAAGTGCCCCTCAAAAGGGGACTTGCTATTAAGGGATACAGGGCTAGAATTGTGTAAGGGGCACTGAGGTGCCCCAAAATTTCTCTACCCATCTGTAGATTTGAATTGTTCCTTCATTTAGCATATGTTTTTAAGTACCTACTACATGCCAGGCATCTTGCTAGGTACAGGGGATGCAATGGAAAGCAAGCCTGAAGTAGCCCCTGCCTTCAGTTGCTCACAGTGTGGCAACAACAACAGACAATTAAACAAGAAAAATCTACAACATGCTAAGTGTGGGCACAGGGCTGTGGAAGCAGAACAGCACCCACTCACCTACATGGGGCACCCAACATCCAAGTTAGAAGGACCTTTAGGACCTTACCCTCATCTTGGCCCTTGCATTGCATTCAAATTACACCTTTACCTCCCCACCTCTGAGAACTGAGAGCAGAGTTATGCACAGAACACAGCAGTGAGGAAGCCCAGGTTGGATCCAGTGGCAGAGCTCCAGCCCTCTTGCTGAAGGTCCTTCAAATACTGTAAAATTCTATAAACAACTATGTATATGAATACTAATCGGTCTTCAAAGAATTCTGGTGTACAAAAATCACAACTTAATTTTTCCATAATTTAACTCAATTTTTATAATTTAATAAAGTTCTCATTTTCCAGGTGGAAAACATTTCTTGGTCAGTTCAGGATTCCTTCCAGCTCTAAAGGGTCTGTGTGGTCCCTCGATGCTGAGAATCCATCTTTGCTGTCATCATCTCTCCTTGGCAGCATTTATGGAACATCCTTACTCCTGTGGTCTTCCATTATGGAGCCATGCAGATCTCTGCTATGCCTTCCTGGTCCTGCCGCACAGGTGTTTATATAGACTGGCACTGAGACACAAGGGTGCCACTCTCTAGCCTACCAAGAACTCTCCAACCCGGGTTTCTAGAAACCCAGATGCCGTCCCTACACTGTTTGCCCAGCCCACCAAGCAGACAGGTGTTTCGTGTCCCTACCATCCTGGGCATGGAGGACACATATATAGCTTTGTTCTCCTTGCTACCTGCATTTTGACAGCTCCTCAGACATTATCCTGAAGATACAGGCCTAGGCAGTGATAGGTCCCACCTGCTCTGGGACATCCAAAGCCTTAATTCAAATTTGGGATCCTGAACAAATTCACATGTTCTCAACTTCTCTGCCTGCCCTACTTTAGTTCATGAACTCTTCATCTGCTGTGGGACACAGTAGCGCAGCTCTTCATCTGTTCTTCCAAATCTATGCTGTCATCCTAAGGTCCAAGCTTTTGAACCCTGAAAGCCAAGAATTTGTCTCTGTTGCCTGCTGGGTCATTCTTCCTTGAGGCAATAAAACCAGAGTACCCCCCTAAGAGCATAGGAATTAAGGGGCACTTCATTGTACTTTTCCCAGGGCCCATCTCTTTATTGGGTACCTTAGGCATGGTGCCTAGGACTTGTCATGCTTTTTAGGGGCCCCAGAGTGTTTCAATTATTTTTAAATCAGAAAAAGAAGAATGTCATACAGCTGCAATTATATCCATCTTTATACCAATGCTGTCATAAACTATCATTTTTAACATTTTCTTTTTTTTTATGAAGGAAGAAACCCAAGTGGGCAAAGATACTTAGTGTTCACAAGAGTTAGAATGCAGTTCTGATTATCCCACCATATACTTCCAAGTTTTATTATAACTAGCTTATTACAAAAATACAGATGTTCTTTTCTTAGAGGAATCTCAGACAGCAGTCGAAGCCTAGCATTGAAAGGATAAATCTATAATGAAAGTGTTTCTTTGGAGGACTGAGCTAATGCAATTAGCATCCCCTAATGTCCGTGGGCTGCCCACGAGTAATGTGCGCACAGCCTGCAGGCACCGAGACACACAGCTGAAGGCTTAGACCTCCCCCCATTTCTAAGAGGCTGCCAGCCTGGCAAAGAGAAGTCTACATGTTTAAAAATTTAAAAATTAATTATAAGATTAATTGCCTAACTTTATATTATGTCAGGTGAACATTGGGTTGTGTCTCAATTTCCCTGAGATGAACTGAAAATCATACACTGCGGAAACAAATGAATCGATGCATTAAGAATCTCAAGTGAACAGTGACATATAAATGCAAGATATTATTATGTGTAATAATATTGTGTCTATTTACGAATGTTTTAGTTGAGTATTTTTAAATGCTTTGCCAATACTAATTAAGCCTTATAGCATCTTTGTGAGATAAAAAATAATCAAGGTATAATAAGTATATACTTTATTTAGCCTTGTTCTCCTTGCTACCTGCATTTACGTAGGGCGGCCATGCAATTTGCCATGACTTGTCATTTACTCAACAAAAAATTTTTATGAGGAAAAAATGAATATAATAAAATTTACAATGTCTCTGGAACAGTAACTTTAAAAGTTTTGATCACAGCCCCCACCCATTCTGAGACATTTGCCAATATTTGGAGACATTTTTAGTTGTTGCGTCTGGGTGGGGTAGGTTGTTACTGGCATCTAGTAGTGCTGCTAAACATCCTACAATGCACAGGACAACCCCTGCCACAGAGAAATAGCTGGCCTAAAATGTCAAAAGTGCTGAAGTTGAGAAAACTTTATAGAATAGTTGTGTAGCAGACTCAGATCAGCGGTTTCCAAACCTGGGTGTTTCATGGAGCAGTAAAACTTTCCTTCAAAGTTTGTAAAACCAACATAAAATTGCCAACCTTTTGCCTTGACAAGAACATTAAAAATAAAATAATAAACTGATGAACAGAATAGACTCAATGACTTGGAAGCATAGATCAGACTGACAATGTCAGAGGGATGGAGGAGGGCAGGTGGGCGGAGGGGGTGAGAGTAACCAAAGAATTTATATGCATATATGCACAACCCAAGGACACGGACAATGGTGGGGAGAGGGACTGGGGAGGGGGATGGGACGGGGTGGAACGGGTCATTGGGGAGAAAAAGGGACATCTGTAATATTTTAAACAAAAATAAAATTTAAAAATTAAAATAAATAAATAAAAATAAAGTAGAGGTATTTAAAAATAATAATAAATAAATAAATAATCATCTATCATCCTTAATAAAAATACCTCTATCATCAAAGATAAGCAAAAATGATCTGAATGCTTTAAATGGAATACATTTAGCTATGCAAAAAACTTGCTACATGTCTTTACAGCCTGTACATCACCTTGGATTGGTAAAAAGGTCATTGTTGACCTAGTCTACAGACTGGCTTCTGCTGATAGTAATTTGCCCAGACATGTACGTGACAGCAGCTGGTCAGCAGTCAGTTCAAGGCCAAAGCAGCTTCAGTACAGCTACTCCATGCTGCTGACTGAATGGAGAGCTGTGTCTTTGAGGCCAGGCGTTCAGGTACAGGCTGACTTTCTTTCTGGAGGAGGGCCCACAGGGCTTCCTGGCAGTGGGGCCAGAACCTTCCTTGACAAGCGGCCTTGCTTCTGCTGAGGACCTTGCTCTACCAAGTCCAGAGCTGAACANTTCATCAAAGATAAGTAAAAACGATCTGAATGCTTTAAATGGAATACATTTAGCTATGCAAAAAACTTGCTANAATAAAGTAGAGGTATTTAAAAATAATAATAAATAAATAAATAATCATCTATCATCCTTAATAAAAATACCTCTTTCATCAAAGATAAGTAAAAACGATCTGAATGCTTTAAATGGAATACATTTAGCTATGCAAAAAACTTGCTACATGTCTTTACAGCCTGTACATCACCTTGGATTGGTAAAAAGGTCATTGTTGACCTAGTCTACAGACTGGCTTCTGCTGATAGTAATTTGCCCAGACATGTACGTGACAGCAGCTGGTCAGCAGTCAGTTCAAGGCCAAAGCAGCTTCAGTACAGCTACTCCATGCTGCTGACTGAATGGAGAGCTGTGTCTTTGAGGCCAGGCGTTCAGGTACAGGCTGACTTTCTTTCTGGAGGAGGGCCCACAGGGCTTCCTGGCAGCGGGGCCAGAACCTTCCTTGACAAGCGGCCTTGCTTCTGCTGAGGACCTTGCTCTACCAAGTCCAGAGCTGAACACTTTGGCTATTTCTTTATATGAGGCATATTTATGAAAGACACCTTTAATTACAAGAGACTAAACTTGCTTTCTCTAGTCTACTGTAGGAGAAAGAGTATGAACATAAATAGAATTAGGACTGGGGAAAGGGCTGACAGGCCAGGCTCAGAGCTGCCAACTGTATAAAAGAGAGCTTGGAACCATGACCCCGTTGTCAAAACTGCCACTAAGACTGATGCGAAGAGGGTCAAATTTAATAGAATCTAGTAGGGCAAAGACAGC